CTTTGGTGCACGGACGCTTGGAGGCAGTGTAGTTATAGAGTGTCGCTTCTGCGGCGCTCGCCGTCTGTCGCCCTGCCCATCCGCTTCTCTGGAGTCGTGGTGCGGAATTGCCATCCGCGCGTCAAGTGGCGCTCGCGCTCGTGAGCTCTGCTTTTCTCCTCTCTCATCCTCTGCTCCTTCCCTGTATCTCTGTCTCGGCCATGGCCCCTCGTGCCACCGAGCGTTTCCTCTGCGCTGCGCGGCGTGTCTGCGCGCGAGGCGGCGGGGAGGTCCATGGCGCTGTGCGCGCGCTGGCATGGAGTATCAATGCCATGGATTAGTTCATTCGCTGACCCATTGATTCATTGATTCGTTAGTTCAGTCACTCGCGGAAACAGCGGGGCGCCAGGGGGCATCCGCAGGCGAGGGGCATGGTCAGAGCAATTGGCGGGCATCGGAGCGGGGGGGCCCTGTAACGCAAGTTGCGGCGAAACAGAGTTGCAGCTCTCTGGACACACTGATTCATTGTATCATTGATTCATTGACTCATTAGGCCAGTCACCCGCAGACACAGCGGCGTGCTCAGGAGCATCCGCCGGCGAGGTAGATGATCAGCAGGCCAGTGGCAGAATGTGGCTATGAGTCGACGTTCGCGCGCGTCTTTCGAGGAGGCGCGACGTTACCATAGAGGTACAATTTCATACATAGAAGATGCAATGGCTCGAACAATGCAGCTGGATTCGCAAGCGACGCCGCAGGTGGAGGGCATCGGGGCGGTTCATTGGCTCCTTGTTTCATTGATTCATTGATTCATTGGTTCATTGATTCATTGGTGCTTGACACCGGCGGGTGCGTTTGCGAAGGGGCGCCGTGCCACGCTTGTTGATTTGCTGTCTGTCGGTGTGAGACGAGCGTTACCATCGCGACTTTATGTGAAGGTTGGCACGGTACGCATGTTGGGTTGCTGTTTGTATGCGTTTTGAAGGGCGTCACTATCGCGAATTTTGAAAGAGCTGGCGCTCTCTGGCTCGACTGATTCATTGGATCATTGGTTCATTGGTGCTTGACACCGGTTGGTGCGTTTGCGAAGGGGCGCCGCGCCGCGCCCGTTGATTTGCTGTCTGTCGGTGTGAGAAGAGCGATACCATAGCGAATGTATGGGAGGTTTGGCGCGGCACGCATGTTGGGTCACGGTTCGCATGCGTTTTGAAGGGCGCCACTATCGCGAAATTTGCAAGAGCTGGCGCTCCCTGGCGCGATGCACCCGTGTCCGGCGTCGTTTGCGAATGAGCGGCGATCCACTGTCGTCGCGTCAGTGCTGTCAACTTCGTGAGCGCTGTTGTGCAGGCTATTGAAGCCGCAGACGTCGGGCCACGTGGCTCCGTTGCTGCTTGAGCGGGCTGCTTGCTTGGTGCGCGGTTTGGCGCCTCTCTATTTCTTTTCTTTCCAGGCGGCGGCGTCAACGCCATCCCGCATTCTATGTCAGGAGGCCATTTCTTTATTGCTTGGGGCATGACGGGCGTCATGGCCCCCGGTTCCCCCCCCCATGACGTAACGCTCCCCCCTTCAATGCGCTCCGGCACTGCCGCCGTGCGCATTGGGATCCGCGTAGGTGTCCGTGTAGGAATCCGCACGGGTGTCTGGTCCGCAGGCGTCGTCGTCGTCGTCGTCGTCGTTCGTTGTCGTCGCTCGTGGTTCGTCGCTCATCGTTCATCGTCGTCGTGCGCGCGGACGCGGCTGGAGCCTGTTTTTCAGTCCGGGCCGATGACGGCAATCATCTGGGGGGGGGGTCGATGACGTCACGTTTCGCGCCGGCTGCGTTCGGGAATGGTTAGGAATGACGGAGGACGGGTAGCACGAACATGTAGGTGGCGATATGCACCACAAAGCCTGTGTACATCACATTACCCGCGTGCACCACAGCGCCTGTGTACACCACGCCGCCGATGTACACGACAGCAGCCGCGTGCAACACAGCGTCGTATTGTGCCACCGCGCCTGCGGGCACAGCAGCTCCTGTGTACACCACAGCGCCTCCGTACACCACATCAGCCGTGCGCAACACAGCACCAGTGTACATCGCAATGCGCGCGTGCATTGCAGTGCCTGTGTACGCCACGGCGCCTGTGTGCACCACATCAGCTGTGTGCAACACAGCACCATTGTTGTGTATAGAATTTCAGAAGGGATCCTTGTGACAAAATGGAGCGCGTGTGGATTCCAGAAAACAGTGGAAACCAAATCCTCATGGACAAAGGAGCGCCGCTGGAATTTACGAGTCCCCCCGAGTCCGCCCGCATCACCCTAACTCCCATTTGCGTCCAGGAAGCTCCAGCTAAACTGGCCGTCCGAGAACCAAGTGGCTCGATTCAACCGACAATTCTGAGGTGCACGCTGAGATGCGCACGTGCGTTGTACCGCCAAGCCGCCTCGCTGGAGGTAGCCTCCCTGGTGGTGTTGGTGTCGCTTCTCCTTCCCCCGATCCAGGGTCGAGGAACGAAGATCAAAATTCGGGGAAACTCGAGGCTCGAGGTCGCCTGCCTGGCTCGGGGCTCGGGGCCCGAGGCCTAAGGGGAAGCCCCTCCGCCGCGCCCCGGCCTCCGAAGCCCGCTCCCCTGGCAGCCCCCGGGGCCGCTCTGGAGGCCGGCCCCGCCGGAGGGGAGAGATCGCATAGGGGTCTCCCTAAGGAGGTCCCCTACAAACCTCTAGGAGGCCTCCTCCTCCTGAGGGGAAGCCTCCTGGAGACCTCCCCTCCCCCTCCCGGAAGTCGGCCGGGGCGGGCCCCGGGACCCAGACCTCCAACGTCTTGAAAAAATCAAGGCGGAAGGGTTTGGAAAATTTCTGCCTCCGGCCCCAGAAGAGGAGAGATCGGCCAGGACGGGCCCTCGGACCCAGACCTCCGACGTTTTGCAAAAGAACCAAGGCAGAAGCTTTTGGATATGTTCGGCCTCCAGAGGCCCTCAGCGGGCCCCGGGACCGCCAAGAAACGACTCAAATGAAAAACCTCCACCACACGAGCCAAAGACGAGAGGGGGGGGGGAGCTTCAAGCCCCCCCCCTTTTGCACCAAGGGAGGGAGGGGGGGGGAGCTTCCAAAGCCCCCCCCCCCCCTTCAAAAGGGGAGGTGGCTCACCCCAGCTCCATTAAAAGGACGGAGGGGGGGGGGTAGCTTGGAAGCCCCCCCCCTCCCCTTTTCCGGCCACGAAAAGAGAGGGAGGGGGGGGTAGCTTCCGACCCCCCCCCCCCCCTTTCAAAGGGGGGGGGTCCCTGGCTCCACTCAAAGGACGGAGGGGGGTGTAGCTTGGAAGCCCCCCCCCTCCCCTTTTCCGGCCACGAAAAGAGGGGGAGGGGGGGGGTAGCTTCCGACCCCCCCCCCCTTTCAAAGGGGGGGGTGGCTCACCCTGGCTCAATTAAAGTGAGGGAGGGGGGGGTAGCTTGGAAGCCCCCCCCTTTCCGGACCACGAAAAGGGGGGGAGAGGGGGGGGGGGCTTCCGAAGCCCCTCCCCCTTAGCAAGGAAGGGGGGAGTGGGGTAGCTTCAAGCTGGGCCCCCCCTTCTAGTCGATCGGGCCCCACGAGCGCGGTCTATCCGACATATGTTACGCAATGTTCTGTTCACTCGATGTTAAAGCGGACAATGATACGCGCGCGCTCAGAGAAAGGCGCGTGCACCCATGTTCCGCTAGGACGCCAGCGGCGCCCTAGCCTCACAGGTGTCTTCAGCAAAACGCGTGCGGCGGCACGCGCGTGGAAGCTTGAAAGAAAAGCGGGGGGGCGAAGGTAACGACTGGATCGACGAGAAGAAAAAAACGGCGCGGCAAAGAGTGGCGGAGGAGGAAGAGAAACAGGAGTAAGAGGTCGATTGTCAGGTTCAAGCGGTTGTCTTTGGGATTTGCAAGGTCACCACATCACGAACCGTTCTGTTGGTTCCCAAGTATCCCGTGTATTGGGTCCCCGCTTTGAACTCGTAGTGCCGCGCGTCTCCTCCTTACTGATCCCTCCCTCCTCTCCTCTCCCGCCCCACTCCTCCATCCAGTCCGTCCTCATCCGTCACTTCCCTCTTCCGATCACCATGCTCATCATCACCAGCACCGTCATCATCGCCATGATCATGCCAGCGCACCGCTCCCTCACACGTTGAGTGGCCCCATATGGGAGCCCCACCGAAGGCATCAGCGGCTGCGTTCGCAACGTGTCCCGCCCCACTGCGGCGCACCTTTCACCCAGTAGCTGCGTTCGCAAGGTGCCCTGCGCGATTTGGGGGCATCCCAATGCGTTGGTTTCTTCGCCTGGCTGTTTTTTGTTTTGCATCGCGCGCGCGAATCCCGCCCGGTCATCAGGATTGCTTAGGGTGGGATGCTCAGGTGTGCGCTCGCGCAGTCCGGATCCCGGCCCCGTCCCCCTTAAAACTTGCCTCTCCTGCGACCCGAATGGGAAATCATCTTCCAAACGGGAGAGGGGTTAACGCATCGGCGACGAGGGTCTCGCGCCGCGGTTGGTGGGGGCTCTCGTTCTATGACTGTGGCGGCGCGTCGCTGCGCGACTGGGCACGCGCGCGCGGGCGGGGGTCTCGCGTGGGGATGACTCAGCTACGTCGCAACGGTGGGGTTCTCGCTCTGTGAACGGTGGCGCCTCAAGGCATTGGAGGGCGAAGTGAGCCGCGAAAGGTGTGCGAGTGCAGACGAATCTGACCACGGAGACTCTCGCTAAGGCGCGCGCCGACCGCGTTCCTCCCACCATCGTTCCCAGGTCCCGCCGGGCTGCTGCCGAAAGCGCGACTACCGTCGCTGTCTTGCACCCCAGAATGTGCGCGTCCAGATGGCACCACGTTCCTTTGCCTGGGAGATGACTGTCACTACCTTGCAGCGTGCGCGCCTCGCGGGCGATGAAGGAAATCATGATGGGGGAGGAGTCGGAAGAGAATAGGCGGGAGGGGCGGTGAGGTGAGAGAGAGGGGGGCGGGGAAGAGGAAAGAGGAGGGAGAAAGGAGGAGTGGTTTCACTGAGAATTTGGCATTTCCCAACCTGTAGCCGTGGCACCATCCAGTTCACCAGATTCCTGCTGCAGCTCTTGTCGTCGGAGACGATCGTGCCCAGCTCCTGCAAGCGAATGAGAGATGGGGTGGAGGAGGGAGGGATCAGACACGCCGAGAGAAGACAGACCAGGGAAGACGGGGGGGGCGGGGACGGATAGGCTATGAGCGGTGTTGCACTTCTACCCAGCTCCTGCAAGCAAATGCGCAGCTGCTCTATCAACTCTTCTACGGAGGGCGCCTCTTTGAACTTCACCGTCTTGATAGTCACTTGTTGCGGAAGACCAATGACCGAAGTCTGCGCCGCCTCCATCTCCGCAGGCGAATCGCCCAGCACAATCAAGTTGAGCCCTAGGAAGCACCGCCAAATCCCCCTCCTCGTCCTCGCGACCTCCTCCTCCTCCTTCTCCTCGTCCTCCTCCTCATCCGCCTCCTCCTCTCCCGTCTACTCTTGCTCCTGGTCTTCCTCATCGTCATCCTTCTCCTCCTTCTCCGCATCTCCGTTTGCGGTTTTACTGAAGCCACTGTTTGGGCTCAAGGCCGTCTCGGCTCAGGGGCCTATCCGTTGCAGGTTGCCCTGCCTCTTACAAAATCACTCTGGCTACAACTATGTTTCATTTTGACTTGACTTGTCCCGTCGCACGCGAACCATCACGATGCCGCAGGGTAACCGTTTCAAACAGGCTACTGATTGGCTGTGCCGTGCTTATTGTGCTGGCGATCGCCAGGAATGCTGTAACCATGCCCAAGAGCTGCACTGCGGGAGCCGTGATCAGGCCAAAGACGTAGCCGTGGGGAGATCCTAGGCCTTCCGCGTCTGGACCGCCCGGCCGCAGCAATCCCACCTCCGCCGCCTTACCCGCCAAGGACGAGCGCATCGTAACCTCATGAGGGAGCTCGCCGCAAAGGGAGGCGCAACGCCTGCCGCCCAAGACGGCGCCATGGAGGTGGAAACGGATGAGCGGTGGCAAAGACCGTCGGCCTCGTCTCGGGCATCTGGAGTCGCTACTGGCGACCGTTCGATAGGAACGCGGATCCCCTGCTCGATCCGCAGGTGGTTGCCGACCACGACAGTCTGATCTAAACGGCATTGGTCGCGCGGTCGTTGTCAGTGCACACCTGGTGGATCCTCGCGTACATCGAGCGCCAGACTACTGGAACAGTTCCCTGGAGGTAGCGCCTGGTCGTTCAGCGGGCCACCACGGAAGAGCTGCAGAGAAGACTAGACAGACCACCCGTGATGTCGAGGAGAGCCTCGCCAAGCTGCTGGCGCTCGAGGAAATGGATGCGTGGGAATTCGTCCAATCCGCGCCCTTCCCTCCCCTTCCGAGAGGGCAACTTCCTTAACCAAGCCGTCTCGCTCCTGGCATGTGTCCTCTGTTCCAAACCCCAGGGGCCTCTGGACGCCCTGGTCGAGGTCGACTCACCCATGGAATTGGACCTCGAGGACGTTGTGTTCCTCGCGATTGTCGTTGCTGCAGGTGTCCCTCCCGGATGAAGCGGCTGAAGCTGTTGGGAAGTTTGCCGCGCGAGATTCGCGGCTCCCGCGGGTCACTACCATTAGCAGAATTGCGCCAAGGGGCATCCAGCCCTCCATAGCTTGTGTGCATGCTTGTTCGCCCTTCTTGTTGTACAAACGTGACGCCAGTGACGGACATTGCACTGTTCGGCGTGAATCGTTCACCGTTCACGCTTCATCAGATGACCTTATGCTCTAACAGGTGGCCCAATCGGACCATTCCGTCGGAGCTTCCGCTGTCCAATATCACAATGTCACAACTACGCGACGTGGGGAGATGCACATCCATCTCGCCGATGTTAGTTTGCATGAGGTGTGGGAGGCGACCATTCTGAATGATCACACTGGCTGAACTGATGAGTGTAGCCATCTTGCACTGCCTCATGCCATGGTCACTCGAACACCAGGTGCTTCCACTGGCCATGCCGCTGCCACCCGCATACAATAAGGAGTGCCAGTCGGCACTGTTTGCGCATAGTCTGTATGCATGACTGGGCACCTATATGCGTGACTCGGCTGGCATGGACGAGCGTATCGTTGACACTAGTTGGCGTGCGTGTGTGTGTGTGTGTGCGCGCTAATACTGCTGCGCGAGATCGGCCTGAATCTGAATGTTCCTCCAAGGTTGGATCACGGCACATGGCATGTAACACGCTTTGCACCACACAAAATGGTTAGAGGCTTTAGCGCCTGCGGCGTACGTGTCCCGATTGAACTTATGTGGTACGCCAACGTTCATGGCAATGCCATTGCTTTATGTCGTAGCTCGTCGATCGGCCCCTGGCTTGGCCGTGAAGCCAAACGCAGATGGCCCAGCATGGAATGCGGTGATGAAAAGACTCCAGCCTGAGCTTTCCGAACGCTGAGATAAAGTCGGGACTGATCTAGGCAGTGCTCTGGCCATGCTGGTCCCTGCGCGCTCGATGGAAGCAATTGCGGTGATGGTCTACTCGTCGCCTCATCTTACGGGCCTGGGTCACTGCTGCGCGTTGGGCCCGCCATCTTCGCGGTCCGCACTCAACGTGGTCCTGTGGGTGGTGTTCGAGCGGCGTCGCTGGTCTGAGCGCTCTCGCCCGCCCGCGACATCGACATTTTGAGAGCGGTGTTTGAAGCCGATCGTTCTCCTTCGGGCACTCCTAGCAAGATACAGCATTGAACTTGGTTGGTGTCATCATTGCGGTTTCCTTTCGTCAGGGACTGGCTGTGTTCACCAGCTCTGACTTCGAATTCTGTCGATACCACTCCCCGCCCCCTTCGTTTTCCTCCCTGGCGCTCCTCCAAGCCCCAGTGTTGCCCGACACCGCCCGCCCTGAAACGGATGCGAAATGCCCCAAGAGTGGCCAAAGGCAGCAACAACTTAGCCTGGCGAGGGACCCAACCACATGCAGCTGAGTATCGCAAGACAAATGGAAACTAAGGGAGGAGGCTCGCAAGAAAAAACAAGGCGTCCATACGTGGCAAAGACGAAGCCACGTGACGTTGCTGATGGGGTCACAGATGTCGGCCGTGACGGGATCTGTGTGTAACTCGTTAAGGCTGGTCTGCGCGTCTGTCGGCGCAGCCTCGGGGAGCATCATGCGGCGGGGCCTTCGGTGGAGCTCCCTGTGGTGCCAGCATGGGCGCATGGGCGCAATCGCGCGTGCTAGAACTGCCACTGGGGCCTCAAGTGGAGCTCCCTGTCGGGCCACGAAGGGCGCGGTCACACATTGCAGTTGGGGCCTCAGGTGGGGCTCCCTATGAAGCCACGAAACTTGTGAGCGGTGCTCCGACAGGGTGTCGAGAAGGCATGCAGGCCCTGGCACTGCGGCCTCAGTTGGAGCTCCCCAATTCGTCTACGCAGCATGTGAGGGCTGCGCCGGAAGTATATGGAGAAGGCATGCGAGCCCAACAATTGGGGCCTTCGGCTACGAAACGTGTGAGGCTGCGCCAAAATAGTGTGAAGACGGAATTCGAAACAAGCCACTGGGGCCTTAGGTGGAGCTCCCAATGGGGCCAAGAAACGTGCCGGAATGGTGTGGAGAAGGCAAACAATCCTAGCCACTGGGACTTTGAGTGGACTTCTCTATAGAGCCACGAAGCGCGTCAGGGGTGCGCCGAAAATGTGCGGAGAAGGCATGCGAACCCAGCCGCCGTGGCCATCGGTTGAGCTCCCTACGGGTCCACGAAGCGATAAGGAGGAGAGGAGAGCAGAGGACGCGGGGCGATGCGTATTCAAAACGAGGACCCAACACCACAAATTGGTTGGGAAGAGAACGTACACCCGAATATGCCACCCAAGACATTCTAACAAGCCCCAGAGGGTGTCTCCAGTTGTGCTCTAGGAGGTCGAACAGAGAAACAAAACTATTCAAGGACTGATGCGTCCAGGAAGCGCTAAGCTGGCCCCAAGCCGCAGCAGCACTGCAGAAAACGCCACAAGACTGCTCAACGCTGCCCAAAGAGGGCCCCAAGACGGCTCGGGAATCCCCGAAGACGGCAGACACATAGCTCCAGCTCGGACCACGACCCGTCCAGGCAGCTCTTCTCTTCGCAAGAGTTTGGTAGAACCATCCAGGGCACTCGGAGGCATCGAAGAACCACCGCCTGGGGGCCAATGGGACCCCCGTAGAACCAAGGTTCTATGGAGCGTGTCTAGGAGAGCTAAGTGGCAGCATCCTGCATGCGAAGCAAGGTGACGAGGCTGGCCTTTTGGTCCGCAGCGCGTGGCGATCGTCCGCGCGAAGGCTAAGGACGGGGCGCACCTTAAACCACGTGGCCACTGTGCACAGGTTGAACGATGGAGCAAGAAATGAGCAGGGGGGCGTCGGACTGCGGCGGGCCTCACGCTGCGGAGCCAGAGTCCAGCAGTCGCTCCTCAATCGCCGAGGCCAAAGGCCAAGCCGCCACCAGACGCAGGATGTACAAGCAATGTGCCCCTAGCACCGAGAACAAGCCGCACTACTCGGTGCGGAATTCGGTGCGCTGAGAGGTATCGCAACACATCGAGGCCCGTGCGGCCTCATTACAACGCCGATGCAGAAAGGGGAAGTGTCGGGAGAGTGTTAGACTAGAAACGAGCCCATGTGATGATTGTCGCTTGGAGGTTTCCGCTCGCTTGGGGGTACCCGTATGCATGCTGGGTGCAGATCAGATGTTCCCATCATTGTCCTCCTCTGTATCCCCGATGTTCTCTCTCTCTCTCTCTGCTTTCGTCATTGGCCCGATGTTTTCATTTAAACTTCTATTGATCTGACACTGGTCTACTTCACCCGCAATGCGACCTCGATGCGGGCCGAACATTATGGAAGATAATGACCGTCTCCTCCTGGTATTATCAGATGCACAGCCTGGCCTTTATCAAGGGCAAGAAGATACGAGGTGCTGGTCCATGGACCCAAATACGAATTGGTGCGGTGCGGACTACAGCATGGTTGAAGCTCACCGCGCGTCCTGTCCCTACTTCAGGCACCGGAGCCCACCCAAGATGCGATCATCCAGGTCATCAATCAGCGCGGGGAGAAGTCCGGCATCTACTCAGAGAAGGGGGTCCGAAATGCTCGTTTGTGTGCCCTCGGCAGCGCGATGTGCGGCGGAGTTCTATAAAGATCTCATCCCGCAGAGGTGCGTGCCGCCACGCGGAGACGTCGGAGATAGAGGGGTTCTGATCGCCGCCGCCACGGCCAGGATCTGGCACTATTGAAGGCAGGGGAGGTCGTCGTAAAAGAACTGTTGGTGTCGCCGAAGCAACGTTTCCTGGAGAGCCATTGGGCGTTCAAGGCGCTACACGACGTCAGTTTATGACCTTCGGAGAGATAGATGGTTGAGGACGGCTTCGACGGAGGGCACCTCGTGCTGGACTCGACAATGAATGGAGGCGCACGGGGTTGACGTGGCAAGGTATTGGTGGCTGGCAGGGCAACTACTTATTTGTTTCCATTGTGCTGGCTCTTGTACCTAAGTGTACCGCTTGCGGCTCAGCGATATCGAATGTTGACCATGTCGGCCTCACTCGCTGCTGCAAACCTTGAACCACTTCTACTTTGCAAGCTTCTCTGCCAATTCCTCCGAAGCGCATCACCTCAACACCACGCGTCCACCACTCCCTCCTCATTCCCTCTCCCCCACCCTCTCACCTCCACGAGCCCCTCCCTACCGTTCCCCGTCCTTCCCTCGACCGAAGGTGGGCCGACTGGGGCTGGGGCCGCTTGCCCTTGGGGCGCGCGCAGCGAGCATCTCGCGGAACGTCTCCCTCTTCCACGCGAACACATCGCCGGGGCACCGAGCCTCCCACGGGCGCCGGCCGCTGATCACACGGACGAGGAGGAGGACGACGAGTGTGAAGAGGCAGAAAAGGAGGAGGAGGAGGAGGACGTGGAGAAATAAGCAGAGAGCGGGAGCACGGGAAAGGGGAGGAGGGGACGGAAAAAGAAGTGGAGGAAGACGAAGACGATGAGAGCGGCGGCCTCCCATCGGCGCCGGGCGGAGACCACGCCCATCCGCGATAGAATGGGCATGATGCCCGGGACGAAGCGGCGGGTGCTCTCATGAACCTTGGGCGGGACAAGAAAGTCCTCAGAATTCCCATGGTTTTCAATGTGAGAAAATACCAGGCAAATGTGGACTACAAGTTCGGAGATCTGGGGGCCCAGCGCGGGGCTTCACATTCAAATATGACCTGATTGTTCCCCCCACTAAGTCAGAAAACCCGTAACAGCTGCGTTGGCCTTGTTGCGTGGGTGCTCGCAAGGAATCGGTGTAGATGAGAGCTGGCAGGACTCGGAAGCATAGTGGGAGAAGGTCGAACGGCCCGTGCAATACCCCTGTAAGGCCTAGAGGGGGAGGTTGCTTCCGTAGATTTGCGAAGTAGGCAGTGAGCCCCATCGAGTGCAACCTACTTGTTTTTGTGCCTTCCCCGGGCCCGAATCGCTAATCCATGTGTCGCCAGCGCCATTTTTTGCCATAGCTGAAACATGGATGAACAACATGGAAAGTGACGACGGGGGCGCCCGAATGACATACCGAGCGCACCTTCTGACCCCGCCAGGTCCCTCCCATCTGGGCAACATCGCACGTGAATTAGCAAAATGGACTTGCGGGCGGGGCGGGGCTGGCCATGGAGAAGGCGGGGCTGCAAGGGGCCCGTTTGCCTGGGCGGAATACCGCGGCTGTGCCTAGGCATCTGGTTCTAACACCATTCATCGATCGGAACAGTGCTTGCGACGACGTGTAGACCTCCCATGGCCGATGCGTACCCTGACTCAATGATGTGTGCAAAATGTGCCCCATGGGACCTGTCACAGATCCGCTTGCCTTCATCCGTGTTGCCATTTGCTTGAACATGTTGGAAGGTTTCCCCACCCCCTCCTCCTCAGAGTCTCCCTCCTGCTCCCGCGACTTCCTTCCCTCGTTCTCAACATCCCCATAATCCGCCATATCTGGGGTTCCGTGACACTGTTGAGACCGAGCTGTATGAATTCACCAAGACCCGACGGCTCCGTTGCCCTCGTCCTCCTCGTCCTCCTCATACTCCTCCTCCGCCGCCTCCTCCTCCTCCTCATCATCATCATCATCATCATCATCATCATCATCATCATAATCATCCTCATCCTCATCATCAGCATCAGCATCAGCATCATCATCATCAGCATCAGCATTATCATCATCATCATCATCATCATCATCATCATCATCATCATCAGCATCAGCATCATCATCATCATCATCAGCATCAGCATTATCATCATCATCAGCAGCATCATCATCAGCATCAACATCAGTATCATCATCATCATCATCATCATCAGCAGCAGCAGCATCATCAGCATCATCATCATCATCCTCGTTCGTCTTCATCGTATTATTAATATCCTACTCGTCCTCCCTCTTCATCTCCTCGACCTCCTTCACTTTCTCCCCTCTCCCACCACTCTCCTCCTCCCTCCTCCTTCCCGTCTCTATGTTTCCCTTCTCCTCATCCTCCTCCGCCTCCTCCCACTGCTTCCAGCCTCGTTTGCAGGGGTTGTGGGGGGGCGAGGAAGACGGGGGGGATAGAAGATCCTTTCCCTGTGGGGGGGGGGCTTTGCCCTGGGGGTGGATTGCAGGAAACCAGAGGTGTGGAGTTCTACAAACTCATAGGCCCTATCACCCAGAGCTCGTCCGCGTTCGTCACGATGAAGGTCTCCCCGAGCTGCATGGACACAGACAGCACCCGCTCCAGGAGGCCCTCCAGCAGAGGCGCCTGGTGTTGTATCGGCGCGTTGGCATTGATGGCAGAACTGCACATGAGCGTGTCGTCCCAGTCCCAAATGATAACGATGTCCTGCGTTGAAGGGCCCCTCTTCAAATTGAAGCTGGCCCACGGCCGGGCCCCGATGGCGGAGCAGCTGACCCCATCCATCCCAGAACGCGGACCACTCCTTGATTGGACACCCAATCGACCGTCTCGATCCCAATCGGTCGACGGACCACACATCCGCGATACGAAACTGAGCTCCGATCGACCTGTCGGGGGGCCGTACCCCCGTAGACGCGGATCGGAGTGAGGGGCTGCTCCGCGACAGAAGCCAGCCGCGGGCGCTGACTCCCTCTGGCTCAAGAGCGAACTTTATGTGAAAGCCGCACGCGGCGCTTCCGCTGGGCCCCTGGGCACCCCTGGGCCCTCCCCCCCTGGCCCCTGGGCCCCCATCATGGGTCCCCACGATGCCACAGGCCCCCCCTGGCCAGGCCCCATGGAGGCTATCGCCTCCAAGGGGGCGCTTCCTGCAGTGACAAGGGAGGCTTGTGGGGACTGAGGAGGGGACTTGGGACGGAACGGTGTACTGCAGCATGGTTGATGCATCCTGGGCTTACTCTGGTCGTCCTCTTCCTCCTCCTCCTCCTCCTCCTCCTTCTCCTCCTCCTCCTCCTTCTCCGCCTCCTCCCCGTCCTCCACCCCGCTGCTCCATCCCTTCCCTATCCTCCTCCTCTCCTCCTCCTCCTCCTCCTCCTCCTCCTTCTCCTCCTCCTCCTCCTCCAGTTCCCCCTCCTCTTCCTGCACCTCGTCATCCTCCTCCCTCCTCCCTCCCTCCTCCTCCTCCTCCTCCTCCTCCTTCTCCTCCTACTCCTCCTCCATGTCTCCTCCTCCTCAGCGGCCTGTGCACAGGTGGCGGGGTGCTTGAATGGCTGTCTTGAAGGTGGCGCCGCCATCAAAAGCCAGAGCATCAGAACCCCCAGGCAACCAACGGCGTTCGCGGCCCATTCGTTGGTGGACCCCGTCCTCCCCTCCTCGCCCTTCTCCTTACCGCCTCCCTCCTGAGAGCCTAGCCCAGAGGCGCGATGCTGCTGTGCGCGAAGGGTTGTAAGGATAAACAGACGCCAAACGTCCTCAGCCACGATTGGGCGGCCAGGCGCCGTGGACGACAAAACTGGCAACCATGTCTTCGACTTCAGCGCTGGGACCGGCGGATGGGTGCGAGAAACGCTGGCAAGGGCAACACGTACCAAGGTTGCTCAACGAGATACTGGTGCCAAAGCAGGCGGCAAACGTCATGAGCTACACGGGCAGGACCTGCGAGCGTGAGAAAGGCTTGTAGCGGCAGCACTGGGCCGCCGTGTGCGAGAAAGCAGACAGAGGCAGCAAGTCTTAGAAGGCGAGCATTGGCTACCAGCGACGGGACACGCCGAGCCCAACGCTATCAGATACAACGCTCAGGCCACAGCATGCGAGAAATGCAGGCGGTGGCAGCAGGGTGTGGTCGCCGTGCGCGAGAAAGCAGGCAACGTGGGAACGTGCGACAAGGCTGGTAGTGGCGACGAGTGACGGGACAACACCGAGACCAACGCTATGAGCTACATCGCTCGAGCCAGAGAGTGCGAGACAGGTCAGCAGTGAACAGGCAGCGGCCACTGTGTGCAAGGAACCAGCCAGTGGCTGCAAGCGCGAGAATGAGAGCAGTGGCCGCAAGCAGGAGGACGCAGCCGAGCCCAACGCTATCAGCCACGACGTTCGGGCTACAATTTGGGAGAAAGGCAGGCAATGGCAACAACAGGCTGACACCTTGGCGTACTAGACAACATGCATTGGCAGCAGATGCGAAAAAGGAGAGCAAGGGCCCCAAGCGGAGGGACGAAGGCGTGTCCACCGCCATAGCTACACCGCCCGGGTCACAGCGTGCGAGAAAGGCAGGCAGTAGCTGCAGAGGCCTACGCGGGTGACGCAGCAGGCAGCGGCACCAGGTGCGAGCAGGTGGGCAGTGATTGCAAGCGGGAAGACGAAGACAAGCCCAACTTTACTGGCTGCCACGGTCGTGCCGCCTTGTGCGAGAAAGCAGGCAATGGCAGCAGTCAGAGGCCTCCGCGTGCGCGACAGAAGACAGTGGCAGCATTTCACCCTCAACCCGCCGCCAAGGTAGGTCTGAGAGAGCTGGGGGCGCGTCTGTTCAGCAAGGTCGTGCCGTGGCTTCCGCTGTGGCCCCAAGACTGCTAGATCCCGACCGATCCATCATCATCCTCTTGTCCCCCTCCTTCATTCTTGTTCTTCTGCACATATTCCTCCTCCACTTGCTGGCATGGCCGTCTGCCCTCACGGGCCACCCGCCTAACACTGCGAGTTAGCAGCCCCAATCGTCCTGTGGCTGCTGCTGTTGCTGCTGTGGCTGCGGAATCGGCTGGGCAGCCGCGCTGGTGATCCCAGCCTGCCAAGGGTTTCAAGGAATCTGCAACAACAGTTTCCTGCCAATGAGGACGCGGGAGGGAAAAGGCGGGGAAGGGAAGCGGCGAGGAGGGTAGGTAGGGCAGGAGAGAAGAACAGGGTGCAAGGGTGGAAGGACGTGGAGGGAATCGGGAGTCGAGGCGTGAGCCGTCGAGCTGGGGGCTGCTACAATACGCTTCGGCTGACAATGCTAACCCACTTGCTTGCATACAGAATCGTCAGGCCAGCGGAGCGAGAGGTTCCGAATGGAGTGCATGGAACTGATGGAGGAACCCAAGAACTGGCGGAACAACCAACAGATGTGCGCATTCCGTCACTCCTGGAATGCCTGGCTCTGCAAAGAAAGGGCAGGAAACCCTGATGGTGACGGTGCGCCACTGGTGGCTGAACTCCTTGCTCGGCAGACTCGCAAAGCCAAGCCACGAATTGGAAGCGTAAGCCAACATACTTTGTAGAACTGCACGGGGACATCCGCAGCTTGGCGAAGAAATATTTGAACAATGAAAACAGCCAGATGTTCATTGTCACGTGCAACTTTCCGAAATCGCTAGCATATATCTTCGGCAGAACGGAATATGCCACGCGCAGGAATGATGTGAAGAACGTATACATACCAGACGTCAAGATGGTATTCTATCTGCGAGACGCAACTGTGCGTTCGCCGAACATGGCTTAGTTTCACGACGTCGAGGAAAATGAATCGTGAACGTTCGAAACGGTCTGCGAAGAAAAGGCGACGGCCTTATCCGAATGCGGGCTGCTGAAATCACAGTCTGAGCTGTGAGATCCGTATCTGGAGAAGGCTTGGGGCATACAGACTGACAATGTTCACTAGGACCGTTGCGCGAAAGGACTGGGTCGCCTGGGCAACAATCGCAAAGGGATCGGACGGAAACGAACGAAGCGACGTACTGGGCCGAAATGATCGAACATAACACTGAGACGCTGAAGGCCAGTCTGAGGACCAACCCTTTAAACTTCCGACAGCATGATGAAACGAACGTCATGCAATAATCATCCGGAGGATAGTCCTGAAGAAGATGACGCTGGTCCAGACTGGCATTTGGGGGGAGGGAGACTGACAAAGAACAACGCCTAACTCTGGAGTAATTGCTCTGGTCTCACTCGACGTTGAGCCCCTGCACATGCTCTGGCTCCCGTTGAAGGAACAGGCAAAGCGTTATCAAAGCAAACTTCAAATCACGAACTTTTCATTTGTGGGCTCTAATCACGCTAAGGCGTTCACAAGCAAAATCCGACGCTGCACCTCGACTCTTGGCCGCCAACTCCGGGTGCGAAGTCCGGAAGTCCTCGCTCAGAGACTGCTGATGGCCAGTATTGCCCAGCATGATAAGTTAGTGTGAACACTCCGCCCACAAGGGTCGGAAGCTAGGCCTCAAAGCCCCACGCCACTTGCACGTCTTGCCCGACTGACGTTGATTGCACGTGCGCTCTGCATCGTTGAAATCGGCCTCCCACCTTTCAAATATCGTATTGCTGGAGGCGTCGATGTCGACGTCGTCGAGATGTTTCTTATCCACTGTGCTCTTGACCACAATCTGCAAGGAACGGGTCCGAGCTATCAAACGCACTGCATGCTGAGTCCTGGCGGTCTTACGCCAGGAGCGCAAACGGTCCTCCACGAAGTCTTCGACCGATGTGTGGACTCTAAGTTCACCGTAGTAGTCAACCTCGATCGACACGCTGTGTACCTCACAGTACTTCGCGCATCTCAAGACAAAGGCTTGCATGTGATGGATCAGAGAAGTGTCCAAGAAGGGACACCACTCCAAGTTGACATTCATAACTTGTTCTACGCCAGGGTCAACCATTTAAAACCTGCGCGCGCCACCTTCCCATGCACCACCACTTTGTGCGGGCCCTCCAGACTCTCTTGCATAACGTTCTGTAAGTGTCCTCGAGGGCCGGTACGACCAGCGGGCTGGCCCAAAACTTCAGAGAACGCACGTAGGCGAACGCAAGACGCAATCGAACGAGGCATCTGCCTGGGGTAGACGTCAGCACTGCTATACTCGAATGAAGCTGTCCAGGCCTTCGCGAGGGATAATGTACACCGAGGGTCGACCGGCGAAACCACGATGTCCAAGCGCTCGAGTTTATTGGGCACTGGATCGTCATAGGTTCACAGTTGTCTATTGGAAGCGTTTTCCTCGAAACCGATGCTGATGTCAAACTGTGTCGTGAGATCGAGGTCGTCTGTCAGGAGCACTGGCGATTGAGCCACAAGGGATCGATCGTCCATGAAGCACGCGCCGCACGTCGGCTGCCAAGGGACAAGAGTACTGATCATCGTAGCTGGTGCCATGGAGTCGCCCTGGGGCAACCCACGCCACGCCCAAATGGGTTCGGCGAGCTGTCCCGCCGTACTGCAGCACATGGGAGCCTTGCAACCTGCAGCACGTGTGTAGGCCGCCGCCTCGGGTAGAGCTGACGCCTGAGGGCCTGCCACTGCCAAGGGATGGCCTATAACATCATACGCTTTGGATAAGCCCAGCTCGGCTCCGTCGGTCCCCTCACCTGCGTCCTTGAGCCACGTACTGGTGGCATGCACCACAGAGCTCTCTGTCGCGGACCCAGCGAGCGCGCAGGTCGGTCGGGCAGCCGAAGAGCGCTGAACGGCGAAACACTACAGCAAGAGGGTGGAAGAAAAAGAGGAAAGGCAGGGCCGCCGCGGGAGGGGAAGGCGGGAAGGGTGGCCGGTAGCCAACTCAGACCACGAAGATTGCCTGGAGGCGGGCTGCGGATCTGTTGTGAGATCGTTCGTGAGATCGCTTGTGAGATCGATGGGGAGTCCGACTGTCAAATCGATAGTGAGATCGACTGTGAGATCGATGGTGAGATCTGAAATGAGATCGATCGTGACATCGATAGTGATATCGATTGTCAGATGGATAGTGGGATCTGTTGTGAGATCGATTGTGAGACCTGTTGTGAGATCGATCGTGAGACCTGTTGTGAGATAGATCGTGCGATCTGTTGTGAGATCGATTGTGAGATCTGGTGTGAGATCCATAGTGGGATCTGTTGTGGTAAAGATAGTGCGAACTCTTGTGAGAACGATGGTGAGATCGCTCGTGAGATCTATAGTGGGATCGACAGTGATATCGATACTGAGATCGATTGTGAGACCGGTAGGGGGATCGATGCTGAGATCGCTAGTGATATCGATGCTGAGACCGATAGTAATGGGATCGATAGTGAGTCCGAATATGAAATCAATAGTGAGTTCGAGTGTTAGGTCGATGGTGAGATCGATGGGGGCATCGATAGCGAGATCTGCTGTCAGATCGATCGTGGGCTCGCTTGTGAGATCGATAGAAAGTTCGATTGTAAATTCAGTAGTGAGATCGATTGTGGGATCGATCGTGAGATCTGTTGTGAGATCGATAGTGGGATCGATTGTGAGATCTATAATGAGATCTGTTGTGAGATCGAGAGTTTGATCGATGTAGGATCGTTTGCATGAAACGTTGGTTCCTCCTCCCCCCCCCCTCGAACCTCCATATCACCCGAAGGGTGGTAGTACACTTATTCTCGCGACGATTGCAGTATTCGCCGCTTTCCTTTGGCAGTGGAAGTGAAGGCGGAGAAGCCAGAAGTCATGGCAGCAGAGGAACGCCTGCGGGACCAAGGCGATCTCGAGGTGACTTAAGCGCCAAACTGCGGCTCGAACCTAGGAGGCATGGTAAGGCCGAAGACCGTGAAGCAGAGGAGCGCACAGGAGAACTTCAACAGCCCGAAACGGAGCACTGTGACAGTCCTCAAGGGCCGCGTCTTCAAATGATCGCAGGTGCCCAAAAACACATCATCTGATCTTGAACTGGGCTCTGATCTTGAACCGAAATCCAGGAATGGGAGGAGAGCGATGAGCACGAGAATGCTGTACCGCCCGTTGCAACTGTGTTTCGACGTTCCGCCACCGTCACATTCGTCTCGCTGGAGGAAAGGGGAAGCCGGGGCAAAGGTCCCGCCGCAATGGGAAGGTATGCATCTCAGCAGCCCCAGTATGGGGAGCAGGTCGCGGAAGCATGAGAGACTGCGAGAGGGTGGATGATACTGAGCATGAAGATGTAGAGGAAGAGGAAGAGAAGAGGAGGAGGAGGAGGAGGAGGAGGAGGAGGAGGATAAGGGTTGATGAAATGCAGGAGGAGGCGAACGGGGAAGATAGGATGCGAATGATGACCTTCAGCGAGGAGAGAGGATAACGTTTACGTATTGTTTGTACCCTCGCCGTGACCTCAGGATCTCGACTCAACGCGGTCACGGGGCGAATGTAGAAGTCGCCAGCGAAACAAAGAACACCTCAGGAGCCGACTTGGAATAGAATAGACAAACTCACATGGCGAACCGCGACCCGAAAAGAAAAGCGGCTGTGCTGTAAATGGTCCCATGGAGGAGGAGGAGGAGGAGGAGGAGGAGGAGGAGGAGGAGGAGGAGGAAGAGGAGGAGGAGGAGGAGCAGCAGCAGCAGCAACAGCAGGAACAGCAACAGGCAGAAAAACAACACACATTCCACGCAAGATGGCTCAGACGTAAAGCGCGAGAGGGCCCCAAGACGCCCTAGACGGCCTACAGGGGCGTCGGACGAACCAAGAGCGCCCCGAGACGACCGAACATGGCCCCAAGATGGCCCAATAAGCCCCCCAAAGACCCGCGAGACGGCACAAGAGGGCCCGAAAATACCCCCAGGCAGCCCCCCAGAGCCCCTCCGGGAGCCGACGCAAAACGATGTCCGAAGTTCTCTTGCACTGACTATGGGCTACCAGTGGTTTGCCTTTCCACAAGGGCGGGAGGCGTTGTGGACTCGCCGAAGGCGTCTTACACAAGCACAGAGTAAGGGAATGAGAAGTGATGAGGGATAAAGGAGACAGGAGGGAGCAGGTAGTAGGGAGCAGGAAGAGAAAGGAGATGAACTGACGACTATCAGCCTGGCGGATGAAACCTCCAGATCAGCGGAGGACATCGGAGTGGGAGAAGGAGGAAAAGCATGAGGACAAGGATAATGCGCAATAGGAAAAGGATAAAGATAATGAGGAGGAATGGGAGGACAATAAGGGAGGAGGAACAGCAGCCTGGACAGGAGAAACAGAGAGTGATGAAGGGGAGCAGGAGGGATGATGATGGAGGAGGGACAGGGTGTGAAGGACAAGCTAGGTGCGCTCGCGCCATACCTGACATCCTATGCCTCTCACCCGTCCCTTCCCATTGCGATAATGTGTGCTCTATCCGCCGACCCGTGTCATAGCCGACCTGGAACTCCAAGAAGGACCCCATGGTGCGATGCGCAATGAGAAAAGGGGAGCTGCGTACATTGGAGGAGGAGATGGCGGATGAGCAGGGAGATTGAGCAGGAGGAACAGAGGAAGGATGAAGAAGGAGGAGGACGCGGACGAACAGAGCAGAAGCTGGAGTGGAAGGAGCGAAAGAAGCGTGAGGAGAAGAAGGACCGGGGGATGGCGGAGGAGGGGAAATGAGGGAGGGCGGCAACAATTAGGAAGGACTTGGATCCAGAAAGGTGCCACGCGGTGGGGCGAGAGTGCCAATCTGAACGACGGGGGCAAAGTGCCCATCCCAAAATGAGGCCCGAGCTGCAACGGCAATAACATTGTGAAGGACCAGAGACGATCGGATACTAAAAACAGGAATGTCAAATCATGACATCCGGCGTAAAGAAAATGCGTGGAGAAGGCGGGACATCTTCCACACAGGGTCAGGGAAGAAGGGCGAGTAGTACTCATATGGATATGATGTTGGGGGTGAGGCAGGAGGGAGGAAGACTGTAGGAAGCGGAGGAGGAGGAGGAGGAGGAGGAGAAGGGGCAGCAGCAGCAGGAGGAGGAGGAGCAGGAGGAGGAGAAGGGCGACATCAAGAGACGGAAGAGGAGGGGAGTCCGAAGGGGAAAAGGAAGGGGGAGGGTCAGCGGGAGGACGAGGACGAGCAGAAGGCGGAGGAGAGGGGAAGGTCAGGGGGCAGGGCACGAGGAGTAAAGAGAGCCCCAAGACTGCTCGGGGCCCCCCGGTGGCCTGGAACGCCGGTCTACCCTGGGCGCCGCCGGCTGCATTGGCGCCGCCCCCAGCAGCGAAGGCTGCAGGGGAGCCCAGACCCGCATGGGGCTGGGGGGCGTACATGGAACCTGTGGGCTGCCAGCTCAAGATTGCCCAGGGAGAGGACGAACAGAAATGTAATGACACAAGGGGGGGCAAGGAGGTAGAAGTCCACATGGGGCCGATAGGAGGATCAGTGCCGAACACCGTGCAACACCTATCAGTGAAAGAACTTGTTCTGAAGACGAGCGTAATACAACAACTTGTTATGGAGGAGAAGGAGGATGAGGGGAGGAGGAGGAGGAGGAGGAGGAGGAGGCTCCAGAGGGATGGAGGAGAAGGGGTAAACGGAGGGGTTGACGGAAGGGACGATGAGGCTAAAGATGCGAACGAGGAGTCGGATACAGAGGACTGGGGTAAGGTGGAGGATCAGGAGGGCAAGGAGAAAAGGTAAGGAGGGAGGAGCGGGGAATGGGACGAGGACGTAGCCAATCTCGAATGTCCGCATGTTTGCCAGATCCAGAGAGCCTCCGCCGGGCATCATCGCCTGCGGCGGAACGCCAAAGTAGCCGCCGCCCTGCATGGACACAGTCCCCACCTGGCGGCGTGGCAGGTCGGACGAGCTTGAAGCTTCATGGAAGAGAATGTGGGGGAAGGGTACGGGACGGCCCAGGGGTGGGGAAAGGGGTGTCTGATCTCCCCCTCCCCCATCATCGCATTCCTCCCGTCAAACACACTCGAGAGACGCCACAACCGTTCCCCCTCCTCCTCCTCCTCGCTCGTTCGCTGGAGCTTAAGATATGGAGCCCGTGTCAGAAGAACACTCGCAGTGGATCATGCAACGATTTTTCCCAACCAGTAAACACAATATTCGCTAGTGTCCTTTGGCCCACACCGCCTGGTCTGTTAGCCCACGCGCGTGCCAAGATCTATAACCCCAATTGGGCAGTCGGGGAGGGGGGGGGAAGGCCGATGCTGCGCTGCGCAGCGCTGTACCACACAGGCCGCTGCGGCGACGCAACACCACTGTCGCAGCACATCGCCAGCTGGAACGGCAGCTGCACGCGACGTCTCACCGTCGTCAAACACACACAGAGGAAGGGGCAAAGCGAGGAAGGGGCTCACAGCTCGCGCATGCGCGAACGACACCCAACTTTTTGGGATACCCCGAATATCATGTCGACTCATTCAAGGGACGTGCAATTGGAAATGTAGCGCGCAGCTGCGCCCCCCCGCCAATGAGCGGCGGAGTGGTCAATCAGAAAAGGTCCTCTTTGTTTTTCCTCGCCCAAAAGCCCCCCCCCCTTGCACCACCCGAATGGTGTGGTAAGCCAATTGGATGACACCCGCGGTACGGGAACTGGTAGCGTCCTGCAAACTGCGCATTGCAAGCCGGATTATATTCCACTCGCATGAGGCATCGCATGCGAACACTTTCCGAGCAAGCCGTGGAACACGGACCGTCTCTGCTCAACCTGAACACGTCTACTTTCTCGTGGCTGTTGGCCGAGGCCGTTGGTTCCAAGACGTCGGCGCGCGCAACCTAGAACAACCGCAAGGAGCAATTAAGAAGACCACCTTTCTGGCGAAAATATATCACTGCCTGCACTTGACATGATTGTCCCCACCCCTTTCCATCGAACATGTGGCTCTCGCCTCAGCGCCGCGCACATACGTCTTCAAAGTTTGCAAGAGCTTCACGGATGGAGGGCGGGTCCTTTTCAGAATTTGGCTATCGCCTTAGCGTCGCGCGCATTCGTCTCAAAAGCTTGCAAAAGCTTCGCGGATGGAAGCCGGGTCCTTTCAGAACGTGGTTGCCGCCTTAGCGTCGCGCGCATTCGTCAACTTTGCCAGACTTCACGGATGGAGGGCGGGTCCAGTTCAGAATGTGGTTATCGACGTAGCGTCGCGCACATTCGTTCTAGAAACTTGCAACATCTTCAAGGATGGAGGCGGGCTCTGTGTGGCTCTCGCATGAGCGTCGCGCGCATTCCCTTTATAAATGCTCGCCAGAGCTTCACGGATGGAGCGCGGCTGCTTTTCAAAATCAGGGACTTCTTTCGCTTCAAAGTTTGGAAAAGCTTCACTGATGGATGGTGGGTCCTTTTCAGAATGTCGCTCTCGCTTCGGCGTCGCAGCCATTCGTCTTCATAGTTTGCAAAAGATCCACGGGTGGAGAGCGCTTCCTTCTCAGACTGTGGCTCTCGTCTTAGCGTCGTGCGCACTCGTGGAAACAATTTTACAGAGTTTCACGGAGGGAAGGCGGGTCCTTTCCAACATGTGGCTTTCGCCTTAGCGCCGCGGGCTTAGTTTCAAAAGTTCGCCAGAGCTTCATGGATGGAAGGCGGGTCCTTTTCAGAATGTGGCTCTCGCTTCTGCGCCGCGCAAAATTCCCTGTAACATGTTGCACGAGCTTCATGGATGGAGGGCGGGTCCTTTTTTTAATGTGTCTCCGGCCTCAGCGCCGCACACATTCGTCTTCAAAGTCTGCAAGGGCTTCGCGGATGGAGGGCGGGTCCTTTTCAGAATATGGATGTCGTCTTAGCGTGGCGCACGCTCGTTAAACAAATCGCGCAACAGCTTCACAACTCGAGGTGGATCGATATCAGAATGTGGTTCTCGCCTCAGCGCCGCGCACACTCGTCTTAGAAACTCGCGGGGGCTTCACGAATGGAGGACAGGGCCTTTTCAACATGTGATTATCGCTTTAGCGTCGCGCACATTCGTCTTAAAGCTGGCCAGAGCTTCACGAATGGAGGGCCCTTTGCAAAATGTGGTTCTCGCCGTAGCGCCGCGCACATTCGCGTTTAACCTTCGCAAAAGCTTCATAATTGAAGGGCGGATCCTTCTCAAAATTATGAGGGCTTCACCGTGAAACATTGCATTGTGACGCCTTGCCGGTTTCTTATTGTTAGTGCGCGCTTTCGCATGCGCAATACAACAACAACAAAAAACGCCACCTGCAACTCGAACAATGAATGGTGAACACAATGCATGTTCGCTCGTATTCTGAAGCCTCAACGTGGCATAATGGATTGCGACACCATGCGCTGTCCTTCTTGCTCGTTCGCGCGCGCGTGCGCTTGCTCTCGCGTGCGTAATACCAAAACACCGGAAAACAGAATGGCGGAAACCAGATGTTCCGCTCGTATTCCGAGGGCTTCAACGTGGAACCATGTATTGTGGACACTACACATTGTCCTCATTGCCCGCGCGCGCCCGTGTGCGCGCGTGCACTCGCTCTCGCGTGCACAAAACCCAAAGCCATGTAAAATGGCGATCTCAACTTCGAAAACTGAATGGTGGCAAAAACTGTGTCACTCGTATTCTGAAAGCCTCAACGTAGGATACTGCCTTATGACCTTGCGCATTGTCCCCATTGCCCGCGCGCGCAAAACCAAAAACAAAAACAATGGCCACCTTAACTTCGAAAATGAAAACCGACTGTGCCACGCACAATCCGCGAGCAGATGGAATCGGGCGCTCCATGTCGCCGAGGGCCTCTTGCGCAGAGTGTACTTAAGTGAGCGGGTTCGCTGAGGTCGATCTTGCACACCTTCCGCGGCCCCCTTCTCGCTGAAATGCGGGAGGCGCCATAGACATTGAAGCCGTCACCTACGATCGCGAGGTTCTTCGCGGAGTCCATCTAGGCCAAATCGAGGTCATGGGGGATAGCCTCCAAGATATTGCCCCGCTGGGCCCTTCTGAGCGAAAAACTATTGACGCGAAGAAGAGATAGACACGCCGTCACAACATTACAGTTTCATCCTGATGGGCTCACTCTGGGACCAGAACCGAATCACTAATCGTCGGGGCTGGCCACCCAGCCCCAGCTTGAAACTTTGGGTCGACGGTGATCATCCCACCCGCAGCAGGAGGAGAACGGGGAAGAAAGCGACCGAACCAAACGTGGTAAATAGAGACGGTAAGCAAGATCCTGGATTTCGGCCTCGGCGCCGTGAGCCTCCTGGACACCGAGGACAGAACCTTCCCGACCATGCCTATCATTCGTTTCACATCTTGCAGCTTGCGATCGCGAATAGGACGGGGGTGGTAGACCAGGGAGCGGGCGTTCCAGGAACCACACTTGATGAAAGAGGGGGCGGGATGCTGACGGCTGCAGGCCGCGAAAACTGTGCTAGGACTGCTGCACAGTTGCAAGCCCCGCCACAAAAGCTGCGATGCTGTTCGCGATGCGGTTGCGGTCGACGATTTCATCCGTGAGGTTTTGCGCTGCCAACTTGATGGTCGGGGGTTCTTCGCCTGGGTTCGGGAGGATGGAAATAATCAGCTTCCAACCAAAACTGATGCAGCCATTCGATGTGTCACCCAAGAGACGTCCCTCGCTGTAGCACTGCTCACAAGCTGTGCGACTATGTTTAAACAGCCGGTCTTTCTTGCTTTGGCACTGGAATTTGTCGGAGTCGAGGTGCAAGTCCATTTCGGTACCAAGCGTGTCCTCCACCTTGTGTCGAGCCCATGTGCTAACACATTTCCTGAGAGAGCCGAGGCTTTGCAAAACGTTCCTACCAGCATAGGCCGTAGCTCCAAGCGCACGGAATAGAATACGCGTAGCAGCGGGGCCTCCTTCGAGGTTGTTTTCTTTGATGTCCAAGTTGCTCTGCTCAAAGATGGGCGTGATGGGGTCTTGAAAGCGTCAACGGTGGTGAAAGATGTTTGTACGTGCCACCAGAATTGTTCCGATAAATGTTCGGTCAAATTGCGACCTACCCGCGATGGACATGCGAGGTATGTATTATTTCTTCTGACTCAAGTGCACTGGCGGGGTGGTTGAGCGCTGCGATCCCCTTGTCGACCACGTTGAACTGTTCTGTGTGGTCAGCCAGTTGGGACTTGACGCTCGCCATGCGCCTCACCACTTGGTTTTCCAATGGTGAACACGACGCTTCAATGGTGCTGGCAAAGGAGCCCACTGACTTCTGAACGCCGATGGACATCTTCAGCTCTGCGGCGTCGATGGCGGCCATGCGGGGGTCCTTGGTGGCGTCGACGCTACCTTGAAGTCACCGCAGCAGGCGCCATCAAGTATGGAGAGCGCACGTGGCTTCGCTCGAGTGTCAGAGTCCGCACCGGAAAGGAATGCGCAGAGCGATTGGAGAAGAAGACTCACAGCGCCAGGCGGCTCCTGTGAGGATCGCACGGTTGTAGAGCCAGGCGCCCCCTTGATGGGCGTCGCACGCCAGCGGAAATTTCGATTTAGAATCTCGCGACAAGGTTTCCGAGCCATGAGCCAAAATGGCTTCGGACCTCCTCCTCCTCCTCCTCCTCTTCCCCCTCCTCCTCCTCCTCCTCCTCTTCCTCCTCCTCCTCCTCCTCCTCCTCCTCCTCCCTCTGCTCCTCCCACCCCCCTCCAAGTACCCCTCCCTTTCAGATGCCCCCTTCTACACTCCACATCCTCCACTCCCATCCTGTTGCCACAGCCGGGTCCCCGAGGCGACCGCTGGACCAGTGGGAACGGCAGCGTCGCGCTGGAGCGCCATCTGCGGAGCGCCAGGCGGCCCCTGCTTGGCGCACAACAAGCTCCACTCCTCCCTCCTCGCTCCGTTGCGTCACACCTCTTCCTCCTCCTCCTCCTCCTCCTCCTCCTCCTCCTGCCGCTCCTCCAGAGCACAAGCGGCCCAAGGCGCCTCCGCAGCCATTTGGCACTTTGGCTTCTGAATCGCCTTGCCGTCACGCCCGAAGGTTTATTGCCACTGAGGGAACTGCCTCGTTGGGAGGCAACGACATGAAGACCCTGAAGAGTGCCAAAACACCATTCTCGGGACTCCAACGCCACATATCAACATGACTGCTGCGTCTTGACGATCTGGAACCGCGACAGAACGCCATTCCTGGGACTTCAACACCGCGAAACAAAGTAACTGTCGCGCCCTCACAATCCTGAGTGCGTCCAAAACACCGTTTCTTGCACGTTGACCATGTGAATCCGTGAAACTCTTGCACATGTGAACAAGAATGCGCGCGGCGATAATGCGATAAGCACATTTTGAATACGACACGCCGACAACACGGGAAACTCTTGAAATTGAAAAAAAAAACGAATGTATGCGGCGCGTTGGAGAGAACCACATTTTGAAAACGGCCTGCTCTCAAGCCGTAAAGCACTTGCACGCGTTTAAGACGAATGTACGCGGAACTAACGCGAGAGGCACATGTTGGAAACCACCCGCCCTCAATCCGTGAAACCCTTTGCAAGTTTTTAAAACGAATGTGCACGACGCTATGGCGAAAGGCACATGTTGAAAACCAACCGCCCTCTGTCCGTGAAACTCTTGCAAATGTTTTAAACAGATGTGCACGACGCTATGGCGAGAGGCACATTTTGAAACCACCCGCCCTCAATCCGTGAAACTCTTGCAAATGTTTAGAACGAATGTGCACGACGCGATGAGGAGAGGCACATTTTGAAACCCAAACGCCCCCAATCCGCACAACTCTTGCAAATGTTAGAAACAGATCTGCGCGGCGCTGAGGCGAGAGCCACATTTGGAAGCGACCCGCCCTCCATCTGCGAAGCTGCTGCCAACTTTGAAGCTTCAGAGTCAGTAGTGTGCGGAAGTATCAGGCGAAACGCCCGGCCCGCTCTTTCGACTGGCCTCGGGATGCGACAGGGTGGAGTTATTTATTATAAGAAGAAAGAATGGAGGAGACGTCGTCCCGGTTTCAGGCGCGTCGGCCTGCATCAGCTGCGCCGGCGCGGTGCCCAGGCCGCCGCCTGCCGGCGGCGGGCCGGGGCCCCCGGGCGGACCATGCGCTTGGTGGTCGGAATTCTCGGTGGAGCTGGGATGTCCCATGCCCGGCGAAGCACGACCTCTGGAGGGTGTGGGGGAGGAGCTTTCCTCCTCCTCCTCCTCCTCCCTCCTCCCCCTCCTCTGTCTCCTCCTCCTCCTCCTTCTCCTCCTCCTCGTCCTCCTCCTGCTCCTGCTTTTCCTCCTCCTTCTTCTCCTCCTCCTCGTCCTCCTGCTGCTCCTCCTCCTACATTAATACTTGTTGCCATCGTCCTCATTCTCCTCCGACGCCGCATCCTTCTCCGTAATTAAGAAGCGGTGGTCATCTTTCTGCTGCTGCTGCTCCTCCTCCTCCTCCTCGACGAAAAGGGCCTTCGGGTGACGGCCACCCGCCCCGTCGCTCTGGCTCGTCAGTGCAGTGCAGAATGCCCATGCCGCCTCGACGCGGCCTCACGAGGGGGTAGATGGACAGCTGGAGAGCTGGAGGGGAGGAGACCCTGGGGTGATGGAGAGCAGAAGACCTGGAGAGCCGATCTTTCGCTTCCCTACCAACTCCCCTCCACCCACCCTTCCGCATCCAGCCCTGCGTCGCCTCCCCAACCGCCCCCCAAATTTTCACACTGCCCCTTCCTCTAGCCGTCTACCCTTCACTTCCCTAGTTGTCATCCCTCTCCTTCCACAGCGCATGACCCGCTCCATCTCCAACCCCCTCCCCGCTTTACAATTACTCATTCCCTCAGCTCTTTACCATTTCCGACTTTACTATTAAGGATTCCCTGTCCACCTCCATACCCTCCGGTCTCTCCCCAGAGACTGTCCGAGCGGGACATAGTTTCTCCCGCGTATTGTTTGATAGCACACAGGATTTCAATATTTGTTGTGTGCACCTATTTGTTTCCACGTGGGACGTCTTCGGTCTTTCAAAATGGTGTTCCCGCTGCTCTCGCCCAAGCGCGGACCGCGTTTCTAGATCCGATTCCTTCCTCATCGGTGTCGCAGCCCTCTTTCCCCTCCTCCGCCTTTCCAGTCCTTCTGCTTGTCCCACTTCTCCTGATCGTGTTACTCCTCCCCCTCCTCCTCCTCCTCCTCCTCCTCCTCGTCCTCGTCCTCTTCCTCCTTCCTCATCCTCTTCTTCCTCCTTCCTCATCCTCCTCTTCCTCCTTCCTCACTCTCATATTCCTCCTGCTCATCCGCCACCTCTTCCTCCTCCAATGTACACAGCCCCCCTTTCTGATCTGGGCCTTTGGGCGATCCAGGTCCACCAGGACATCCGTCAGCGGATATGGAAGGGATGGGCGGGAGGAGCAGGATGTCAGATATGGTGCGCGCACCTAGCTTGCGCGGTCTCCCATCGCCCATTTCCCGCACCCCCCCCATCACCTCATGCCCCCTTCCCCCACCCAGCAGCCGCAACCCTTTCCCTCGCTTCCTCCCTCATCCCGCATATTCATTACTCCCTCCTCCCATCTACATCTCCCAACCTCGCTCCCCCACATCTCCCAACCCTGCTCCTCTACCTCCCCGGATCCCGCTCCCCCTCACCCACCCCTCGTCACGCCACCCCACTCCCCCCACCCCGCCTCCATCCCTCTCCCCGCTTCCCTCCCCATCTTATCACCCTAACCCTTTTTTCTCTCCTCTCCCATGTCTTCGCCAATCCCCGACTCCATCCCCCTCCCATCCACCATCCCCGACTCCATCCCTCCCCCTCCACGTTTCGTCCCTCCTCCTCCCTCCCCCCTCCTCGCCCAGTTTGTGAGTCGAAGCCCGAATTGCCAGTACGAATCCTGGCTATCTATACTCAATCCCAGCTACATGCAAAATTGACCGATGCCAATCTCAACAACATTTACATATTATCACTAGAACCATCGCGCGCGCTTCGCGCGCGCTCAGGTTCTATTTGCAAATGGACCTAACGTCTAGCGTACCAGAAGGGCCGTGCCTGGATGATCTAGTCTTTGGTTTGTAATTCCACATGTTCGTGGCTGAAGTCGCACTGAGGCTCGGCTTTCGAGCTAGGATGGACGTACGTCTAGATGTGGAACAGGCCTGTCCTACGTAGAGGGTATTCAAAGTTCTGCCACGCTGCCATACCCTTCCTCCGATCAAGATCAGGGGAGGGACAGGATGGTGCGTGTGTGTGTTGTGTGTGTGCTCGTGTTCGTGTTCGTGTTCGTGTTCGTGTTCGTGTGCTTGTGCGTGTGCGTGTGCGTCTGCGTGTGCGTGTGCGTGTGCGTGTGCGCCGGAGCGGGTGCGGGTGCGGGTGCGGGTGCGCGTGCGCGTGCGCGTGCGTGTGCGTGTGCGTGTGCGTGTGCGTGTGCGCGCGCGTGCGTGTGTGTTTGTGTGTGTGTGTGTGTGTGTGTTTGCTTGTGTGTGGAATCAGGGCGGGTGAAGGGGGGGGGAATGAACAGCGAGGGGCCCTCTGCGAGGGCCTCGGGATATGAAGAACAGGGGAAACATGAACAGGTGGGAAATGAAACCAGAGTACAAACAATATGGAGGAACAAACAACGAGACTGTGAGTGGCAGGGGCCTGCTCGCAAGCACCTGTTGAGAATGTTGCCACCTTTCTGGCTTTATCCCTCGCAAGGTTAGTCATGGACCACGACTGGACAGTTTCGCGGTAGCTTCTTTGATTCGCGCCCGCTGGCAGCAGCGACGAGACCCCACGAAAAACCCAAGACAAGAGTCCGCCCGCCCACTTACGGGGTCACGCGGCGGGGTCGAGTCATTCGCAGCAAGAAGTGGCGGCAATCTCGCGCCATCCTCCTGCGCCCCCCCAGGCTAGAAATGCATCGGGAAGTTACCTGGGGGCCCTTCGGGAGCTCCCTGGAAACCCTCCGAGGCCCTTCGAAGTCCCAGCAACTCCGCGTTTGCCTCCTACCTTCTCCTCGGGCCCTCGGACGGCTCTACGATCCCCCGCATGAGCCCCCATGATCCACCGAGCACCTTGGCGGAGCGAGTGTATCGTCCCACACCATCTTCGCGAGGCCTCTGAAGGCCCTTTGGAGACCGTTGGACGACCCTCAAGGACCTAGTAATAAGTCCCCCGAAATCCTAAAACATAGCCCCCTGGACACGTTGGCGGTGCCAGTGGGCAGCCCCACACACTCATGCGCCACGTGTTTTTGTCGGGGGTGTGGGGGGGGGTTCAATACACCCATCGGTCAATAGAAGCCACGAGACCAGTGCAAGTTCGCCGGATGTTGCATCAAATCCTGGGAAGGCCCGCAAGGCCCCTGAGAACACTGTTCTCTTGCATCACCCAACCAGCGGCATTCAACCTTCAAAAGACAACCAGAGAGCCTATGAACTCGAAAATCTAAAAACCAATGAGCGAAAGCGATCCCGTCGTGAATTCGTGAAGCTGGGACACTGTGAACCCGCGAGCCCGCCAACGTAGCGCCAAAGGCCGATGGACAACTCTGAGAGCTCAGGGTCCAGGGTGTAAAGCTTTGGCCTTGGGGCTTACTTACCGCGAATGGCTTCGGGCTGCGGGACCTACGTTAGGCGTGATGCTTTATTCGGGCGTAGCGTAGGGCTCAGGACTTAGCGCGTAAGGCGCAATTGATGAAGTCTTATGGCCTGGGGCTCCGGGTTTAGTGCGTTGCTATGTATGACTCCCGTGGGGGACGCCTCCAAATACTCTCTGGAAGTCCCTGGCACCCCGAGACCGGTCGAAAAGGCGGGCCGGGCGTATCGCTTAAGACGCCCTCACAACGTATGATCCTGAAGCTTGAACTTTGCCAAAAAGTTTCGCGGATGGAGGGCGGTTCTGTTTCAACGCGTGGCTCTCGCCCCGGTGCGGCGCACATTAGTTTCAAAATGTGCAAGAGCTTCGCGGGTGGAAGGCGGTCCGTTTTCAAAATGCGCTTATCGCCTTGGGCCGCGCACATTCGTAGCAAAAGTTTGCAACCGCTTCACGGATGGAGGGCGGTTCCTGTTCAACATGTGGCTCTGGCCCTAGCGCCGCCCACGTTCGTCTTGAAATGTTGCACAAGCTCCGCGCATTATCATGGCGAACGCCCCAGATTTGTTGGTTTGACACGATGTCGAACTGTCAGGGCGCAACAGTCACGCTGATTCGCGGTGATGAAGTCCCAGGAACGGTGTTCTGGCACGATTCGAGATCGTCAAGACACAACAGTAATCTCAGAGGATTTTCAGTTTCCCCCCCCCCCGCTCCCCCCCCGCTCCCCCCCGCCCCTTTCTCTCGGTGGTGAATGGGACTGGTCCTACCTCCTCGCGGCGGAGATTGTGTTGCTTGTCTTGTTGGGCGGGCTGGATCGCACTAGAGGGTTTTCTCTCCCAGGGAATAAAGCCCCGAGGGCTACTCCGCGCAACAGAAAGATGTTAAACACGTTTGTAGAAGTATTGCAAGATAGATCGACACATTCTTCGCCGAAAGCGTCGCTCACAATGTTTCCGGGGAGAGAGTTTCTGAGGATGAAGTTTCTGAGTGCCCTCGCGGGGCCTGAGCTTCAACAGTCCTTCTGATGATGGAGCAACTGAGAATAGAGTTTCTGAATATCGAATTTCTGAGGTTGTGTGTTCCGTGGGAGCGCTCCTGGGGCATAACTGGTAATAGTCGTCGTCGTCGTCGTCGTTGTCGTACTCGCAGTCGCAGTCGTAGCTGTCGGCGTCGTTGCGGCGCGGCGGATGTCGCGGGGGAAAAGATAGCAGTTTCGCCGATCAGAAAGGCACCAATCCGCGAATGAGGCCGCCGAAAAGAAAGTCATTACACCTGGCTGGAGGGGGGTCTAAAGAACATCAAAGGTTAACAGTGGTTCGCGGCGGCGACATCCCAGAAGTAGCGTCCTGATTTTTTACCGGCTGTCTTCCAACGGGGCATTTCCCTCAGTGAAAACGAACCATCGGAGGAGCCTGTGAGCAGGGAGCTTCGAAGGAGGGTTCATTGCAATCTCGTTGGTGTATACTGGGCTTACGCAGGTCTTCCTTCTCCTCGTCTTCATCATGCTCATAATGCTTCTCCTTCTCGTCATCCCTCCTCCTCCTCCTCCTGCGTCGTCCTGCTCCTTCAATTCCATGGGCTCGCCCCGGGTACCCCGGTACCCCAAGCCCTCTGCAAGCATTCGAGAAGTTGTTGGGGGCGCGCCAAGCGTGGGATGTGCCTTGCGGGTGCCCTACATGCGCCGCAGGAGTGCTGTGCGCACGGGTCTCTGTGCTCTATTGCGCCACCACGAGAAATAGGTGTATCAGGCGATGCGTGCCCCTGGAAAAAAAACGTCCTAACGGCTACGGGCTACGGGGGCACCCTGATACCCCCCATGTTTCTGGGCGCACCCTGGGCGCTCTGGGAATCGTGTCCATCCACAATTTGCTACAACAACGCTTTTGTGGCACCAGAGATGCAGCTGCTCACGGCCACCGCGGACACTCTGGCCACCGTGTCCCCGGGGCAGAAAGGGACGCCCAGGGGGGGAGA